AGGTACCCCAAATTGAAAAGTGGTGTGAGGACTGGCAACTATCCCTTAATAAGGAAAAATGTGTGGTACTCCATATTGGGAAAAATTACCTAGAAAATAATTAAAACATTATCCTTAGAGCAGGTAAGCGTTGTCCTACGGACATGGTTGCGTTTAGAAATAGCACTCTGGATGTGGGAGTGATCCTAGAGTAACTCCTAAATCGTTCATAAATTAACAGGTGCTTACTCGGAGCGTTACGCTGGAATCGTTCAGAAATCCACAGTTGACGTGCCCAGAGTGCGACTAACTTACCCCACTCAGGGACTGGGTTGAAAAACGCCCCGCGGCTTTTACCGGGTTTGACGTTGACATTTAGCGCAACACCCCAATTACGTTCAGAAAAGGCGCATTCAGAGTGCACTCCAACTGATGATGTCAGAACACTCTGACAAACAACTAAAATCTGTTTTTTTTTTAAGATAAAAGTCAAAATGACATTATGTTGGCAATAGAATGTAAAATTGTCAATCTTTCAAATTTTTCATGTAGAAGTGTTGCCAACATAGTTACTAAATTTTTGACTTTGGGAATTATCTTTAAAAAAAAACAGACTTTATTCTATCGCGAATGGTAAACTATCATTTAATCGACTCAAAACTCATGTTAAAGTAACACTTTATTTGAAGTAGTGAAATCGAACAATTTTTACCCACTCATTTGTCAATTTTACCCACTCATACGTCAATTTTACCCACTCATACGTCAATTTTACCCACTCGTTCTCTTCTTTTATAATAATTATAGTGTTTTTGACAGAAATCTGATATGTTGCATGATTGACAACACCAGAAATGTGTCAGTTTGTTAGGTACTTTGTCAATTGTGTTTGTCAATTTGTCATAATCTATGTAAAATTTTGGCACATTTTAGTTTATGATTTTAGTAATTGTGACAAATAAAATGCTGCTCAAGAATAAAATAGAATATTACACACGACGGTAAAAAAGCTTTACCTGTTCGTGGAATTAATCCACTCGCTCCTTCGTTGCTCATGAATCAACATTTTCCACTCACAGGTAAAGCATCTTTTCACCGTTTTGTATAATAAATATCTATTACTCCACCTTCCTTCACACTCCATTTCTAAACGCACTCCAGGATTAGGAACGCGCCATTCTGATATAAAACTTAAAAAGTGAAGCCAGTTTTTAACAGGTGTTTGTACACCATTACACCAGATGTCAGGTAAAGCATTGAATTAGCCACACTGCCATTATTTTGGATCTCAAAATTCCTGGGAAAAAACGGCTTCATTTTCCAACTCCATGTTCCTACTTCTTTCACCTAGGAAATTACCTGCTCTAAGACACCATCTGTCTCAGTATTGATCAATGTTCAGCAACACAATGACCTTGGAATTCTGATAACCAGGTACCATCGTCACCAAAAGTATCTGGGACCACTATCTCCTGGACTAATTCTACTGTTGCATTTAATTTATAGTTTGACAAATATTTGACAATAAAATTCATGTAATAGGACAAGAGCTAATGTGGTGCTGTCACAGTTACTTTTGGTGACGATGGTACATGTAACAACAATATGCAAAAAAGTCAACAGTAAATTATTCCTCCTAAAGAAGGTTCTCCCTAGTAAACAATTCCAACAGATTAAGTTTTCTGCATGCACTATGATCTAGTTAGGTCAGATTGATATAAGTAATGTAGTTTTTGTTTCAGGAAAATGAACTAGTGCCCAATCGTAGTACCTTAATCATTTCTAAGAAACAGTTTTTATTTTATTGTTGATTGTTTATAATATATGGAAACGCTTTTACTGTTCTTGGAAATTTGAATGTTTGTTTTGAATACTGGAAGCTAGAGGACACTAAACTGATTAATCCATAGTTCATCCTTGGTTCTTGGTCTGTGTGGGAGAAGTTATAAAGTCAAAATTCCCAAGAAGCGTTTACAAAACTGTACAACATATAGGTACTGCAGGCCAATTCTAGAATATGCAAGTTTATTTTTGAAGCGGTACAGAGAAAAGTAACACGATTGCAACTTGGTAGAAGAAGATCTACACATGAGAAAAGACTAGAACAAAAAAAAAAACATGGGCGCCGGAACCATGGGGGAAATGGGGGCAATGGGGGCAATGAGGGCAATGAGGGCAATGGGGGCAATGGGGCTTGTGCCCCCATAGTAAATTTGCTATGGGGGAGGAACCCCCATAGTGATTTTGGTATTGTATGTTGTGCCTGTAGGTAGGTACATAAATATTGAGGTCCTAACTATTTATTTTTCTATCAAACTTGTGTGTTTCTACTTTTGTTGTTTTTGCTATACCTACTTCAACAAACAGTTTGAATATTTTGTTGTGTAATATTTCAACCTCTATTTTTAATAAGTTGTTAGATTATTATTTCCTTTCTGCTTATTTTCATTATAGGTAAGTTTACATCACATGAATATATCATTATGTACTAAAACACTGGTTTTTTTCACCTAGTTTACCATAGAAAATTTATATACAAATCGGGAGTATAATACACATAGGGGGTATAATAAGACGAATTAGCTTGTACCCGGTTAAGGCGAATCGAATCGGTGCTGCCCACTGGCGTAGCCAGAGAGGAGGACAAAGGAGCATTTGACCCCTTGCCCCAAACCAAAGGCCATTAAATGTTATTGATAATTTAAAATTAAAATAAACAAAAAAATCAATTCAAGTCCTAGTTGAATAATCAAATACATAAATGCATATATCGTCATATTATAAGTGATGTTCTACTATACATATAAATTCTTATCAAAATTTGTTAAAAAGGCCGCATCTCCGTTTACGCCCACTATAGGAAATCCCAAAAATATTGCGAAAAGACTCAAAAATTTCGCGCCTGTGGCGTTGCAAGGATCGCTTCCTGCAAATTTGCTCCCCCTCGAATCCTGGCTACGCCAATGGTGCTACCGAAGCCGAGTATCGTCGAGCTGCCGAAGATGCACGAATTTTGATAATATGCAAGGAAAATCAATGATCCAGTGTGGCGATCCTGCAGTGAAATGGGTATCTGGTCAACTGGTCCCATTTAAGCTTATGTGTCTAGTGGCCTGGGTACTAACTGTTAAATATTCTATATATATTAATTTTTGGAGCCCGAGCCCCCATAGTTATGTTGAAATTCCGGCGCCTATGAAAAAAACTGCTGAGCTTCCAAAATAGAAGAACAAGAGGAAATCTTATCTTCACTCACCAAACACTCCACAATAACATTCAAACAATTAGACAACTCTATGCCTTGAATACAGATCAGAGACCCCGGAGTCTCAAATTTAAAAAAAAAAAAAACTACTCCACAATGTGTAAAGAGAACTTTTTCAAAAACAGAGTGTTTATCCTCTGGCTGGAATTAACTCCCAGCTGCTGCTACTCCAACTTCAATATTCAAAATAAAACTTAATAGTCAGTTCCCATATTGCTTAAATGAAAACAAGCACTCAAAACTAACAGATCTTGAACAATTGAATTAGTAAAAGTGCAACAATGCGCTTATAGGCCTCACCTCAGCCCATATCGACTATAGATAATAATAGTAATATTCCTTGAGGGAGATTTAAGGATATCCATCGAGATTTATGGATTTACAAGAAGATCTTCATCAATGCAAATTTTATGTCCTAAAACATTGCAACTGACTATACTATCTAGAAACCTCGACGTAAAACAATGGCAAGATGTATTATTAGATTCTCTACATTCAATAAGATCTCTTTTGTGTACTGCAACTAATTTTACACCTCATGAACGAATGTTCAACCATCCTAGAAAATCGACTAATGAAACCTCAATGCCTACATGGTTGTGCACCACAGGGAACAATTTTCCTTAAGAAACATGTTAGACATAGCAAATATAATCCATTAGTAGGAGAAGCTGATCCTCTGGAAGCAAATTCAGATTATGCCTATGCGTACACCTATCAAATGGAAGAGAAATAACTGTATCAATTCTTCATTTAGCACAAGGGGATGTGACACTGGCCAGAACAAGATAAAAATGCCATCAAACTGCCAGAACAAGATTTTAATGAGTTAACTATTCCTAAAGAAAACCTTACATCAGTTACTGTGTTTCCTATTTTTTTACCTTTTATGTTGTATGTCATGTTGTCAGTTATTGACAGAATATTCTGTACTGAATTTTAGCTTACTAACTTTAATTTTGAAGGTCTTTTACTACAATAAATCTCGTTTTTTAAAAATAATGTCTGTCTAATTTTGGATTGCCCACCACAGAATTTAGTTCTAGAGCAATTTTATCACAAACAGCATCCTACATATTGAGTTTTAAAAGATCTGTGAGGATCACAATCTAGAAGTTGTTATATTTTCGCAAACTTTCAATAGGTAATACTTTTATATGTCTTATAACCGTTTCCACCAACTATTTTAGGGGAGCCCTAACGATAAGTATTCCCTAAAATGACATTTTTACATGGAGAAATGTTAGTTTAAGGGATACCTATCGGTAGGGCTTCCCTAAAATAGTTGGTGAAAATGGCCATAAAAGGATCCAATTACAAAAAGTTTACCCTTGGTTAATAATCCTCTATAAAAAAAACTAAAAAAAGAATCACAATAACCCCATTCATCCAGATACAAACTAGGTATGGATACATAATCGACGTAGTATTCTGAGGGCGCGAAATGTATATCGTAGCAGGCCGCATTCCCGCGACCAACATCGCCAAAAAAGACAAAACATATGACAATCGGCTGGCACAGCATCCAGACTGCTCTATCTCTATCCTTCTAACGTGACGCCTGCGCCCGTCGTCAATCTGCGGCCGAAAAACCGCGGACGGTCTACGACTCTATCCCACTAGCGCCAATTTGTATATTTCCGTCCTTTATTCTCCTGGAAGCCCAACCCGCCTAAACCGCAAACAAGATGGTCTCTCTCTCACGCCGCATTCGATACACTGCACTTGCTCTCTATCTCTCCGTGTACCCCTTTATGTTAGCTTCTGTTTTAATCTAATGATGTTTTATCTCAGTCTGGCGCTTTCGGAATTCTATATGGTTGTCTTTAGCTGTATTCCCCTGATAACTAAAGGGTTATCAAGCGCGCGAGTGCTACCGCTCGACGTAAAACGTGGCGGACAAGACTTTAGTGCTGTGTCTTGCTCTAACCGCCACTTTCCATGGGTATTTTTGGATGGGACGTAGGCCACTGTAACGCGTGTTTCCTAGTTAATCAACAACACACTGCCAGAGTCTTTAGTTTTGGTTTCGTGTTGCCGCACCGGTAACGTTCACACCGCATTCGCGGATTAACTTTTATACGCGCCCGCACCTGATGGAAAAAGCGCGAAAGTTTATGATGAGTGGAGTGCGTTGGGATCACCCCACCCCTAAAAAAGTTCTCATTCAGCAGAAAAAGTGTTGACACGTGTTGCCTGGCAACCAACCGTCGCGTGCATTTTTTTTCCGACTCTCACACGCGCCAGGTTCTTTTTTATTTTTATTGTGTTTGAGTGCAAACATGTCGATATACAAAAAAGGATTCCTGTGGTGTCACTTGAGACTTTTCAAAAACTAAAATCAAAAACCAAACGAAAATGCACTTGACCAACACACAACAAACTGCCGCTGCGGCCTCACCGGAAACTTCGACAGTCAACGATACCTACACGAAAATGACCTCGGATATTCTGGCGGAACGGACGCTGAATGACTTCTTGTCGGAACATCCTGGTGAACTAGTGAGGACCGGTAGTCCGTTGTTTGTTTGTACAGTGCTACCTCCTCATTGGAGGTCGAACAAGACGTTACCGGTTGCGTTCAAAGTGGTCGCGCTCGGTGACATTAATGACGGTACCGTGGTCACCGTTAAAGCCGGTAACGACGAAAACTATTGTGCCGAATTGAGGAATTGTACTGCCGTTATGAAGAATCAAGTGGCGAAGTTTAACGATCTTAGGTTTGTGGGAAGAAGCGGAAGAGGTAAGAATTGACATCAATCGGTTATAGGAGAAGTAGATATTCACTCTTGAGTTTTGGAGTTAGCGTAGACCTTCAATGTTTCTAGAATCCAGACATAGAGTTTCCAGAAGCTCAGATTCTGAAATCGGAAATGTGATCTTTTCGAGTGACAGTATTGACTCTAGAACTAAACATTTTGACTTAAAGATTCTCAGAATTGAGATTCTTGAGTCGTGAAGGGTCTTGAGCTTTGAGCTTTCCAGAATATGGATCAACAATTTTGACTCAAAATCCCTCTCTGTATCTTGACTGTCTAAATCTTCCAGCACTAGATATCTGAAGTTAAATTAATTCTAATTTTTTGGGTTTTCATCAGTAGAATGTCGACTCAAACCTTTCAGTATCGAGTCATAATCTGAGATTTTGAAATCGGTAGTGTCTCTTCCGAGAGTCAGTAATTGACTCTTGGACTAAATATTTTGACTCGAGGCTCCCCAGAATCGTGAATCTTAATTGTTCAGAGGTATTCTCAGTTGAGTCGCTACTAAAATCTTCTGATTTAATTTTTTTATAGTTCTCAGTTTGAAGTCTCCAGTCTTCGGAGTTTCTAGAATCTTGACATAAAGTTTCCAGGAGGAAAACTAGTCTTTTTAAGCGACAGTATTGACTCTAGAACTAAACATTTTGCTGTGTCCTTAAAGAACAGTTTTTCCAAAACGCAACCCAGTTTCAAAAATTACATACAACATCCAATTAAAAAAATAAGAAAACATCGTATTTTTTTTGGGGATTTCTGGGTCATTCAAAACTCAATTTCCACAATCCTTCAAGTCTCCAAATCATTCAACACAATTGAAATTCCAATTTTTCGAAAAAACACTCAAACTGCGTTTGCGGACTTTACCTGGAGATTACCTACATTATTTTTGACTACCAATAATCAATTCCCATTAGTTTCAAATCTTTTCTATGTCTGTCCATAAATCTTCATCAAATTCTGTATTGCAAATCTCATTATGTACAAATCTACTCCTTGTTTTCCAACTTTTTTAAATTTTGGTTTCATTCTAGAATTCGTCTTAGTTTCCCATTTGTTGTTTTGTTCTAATAATATTGTCCACTATTGTTTACCTTCTCCAATTATCGTTTTCTCTCCCAGTATCCAGAATTTTATTGCAGCTCACCTCCAGAAATCCCCATTAGGAAGCAGTCTAAGCAATATTGATAGCTACCTGATGATTTAGATTTTGGAAAACTTTGGATGGTTATAACTTTTTTTCTATTACAGTTAGAGAGCTGAAATTTGCATTGATTCTTAACCCAGTAGAGGACTACAATCCCTGAAAATTTCAACTCATTTGGACTTATAGTTCCTGAGATAAAATCATGTTGAGCAATTTAGGGTGATTTATCAATTTTTCAATTATTCTGAGTGTCTTTTTTCATAGAATTCGGCTCCAAATCTTAGAATAATTTGGTGTATGGAGTTTGGGGGATCCCACAGAACCATTAAGACATAAAATCCCAACAATTTTTTTTGTTGAAATTTCCTCTTTTTAGTACTGAGCTGCTCCGGAGTGGCAACTCAAAAATGCTCTAAATGTTTCAATGCTCGGAGTACCCTAGACTTGAACTCATTGTACTTTTATTTCGAGATTTCTGCAAAATTTGTAAATTATTCAAAATTAAATGATTCAGGACATCATGATCCCAATGAATACATTCATATACTACATGTAACTGGAAGGGGCCTAACAGTTGCTTTCAATTTCCATTTTTGAGACATATTTTATGGTAGTGAAAACGACAATAGAAGGGGTTGTTTGCTCTATCGCACACGTACATGTTTACGAGCAATGGTAGGGTATGATAAATCCACATAGCCTTGTTTAAAAATATGTAAGACAAAGACGACCACCCCTTTGCCTCAGGCGTAATAAATACTGGTGCCATTCACGACATCATAAACCAGAAGTCATTTCGAAAGCGTTCCAGTACTATTTTTGGAAGAACAGTGCAAAAGCGTCATATTCGAGAAAATATTACTCTTATTGTAGAGCAGTTCGAGTTGTTTTCGAGTGAAGTAGCCAACTAGAACTACTCTGGAACAGCTTGAGTAATCCACAATTGTTTTGCACGGTTCGAGAGCTTGTAGAGAGTATATCAGACATTTAGAACGTTTCAGTGTCCTTCCAACTATTTTAAAAATTCAGAAATAAAATCGTGTTAAGCAATTTGGGTTGATTTTTCAATTTTTCTGAGTGCCTTTTTTCATAGATTTTGTCTTCAAATCTCAGTATAATTTAGTACCCATATGGAGTTCGGGAGATCCTAAATGACCATTAAGACACAAGATCCCAACAAAAAAAAGTTTGAAATTTCATCTTTTTAATATGATTTGGATTTTGGATAACTTTGAGAGGTCATAACTTTTTTATATCATAAATAAAAAGCTGAAATTTTCAGCGATTCTTATCTCAGTAAAAGACTACAATCCCTGAAAATTTCAGCTCATTTGGACTTATAGTTCTAGAAATAGAATTGTGTTAAGCAATTCGGGGTAATAATGTTATGTTGCTTTTCTCAATGTTCTTAAAACTTTTTTGACCGAGTTAATTTTCTGGCATTCGTGATTTTTCTTCAACCTCATTATTCTTCTTACTTTTATTTGTGTGTTTTTGTAATCTTGTTTGCTCTGATAGTTATGTTTGATAATGGTCTTTCCTTGTCTTTTTCTCCTCTCAATCTCTTCATTCCACTAGTATATGGCTCTCTTTTTTTTATAATTTCCTAAAGAGACTAGACAATTCAGTTGTTTTGGCTGCACTATTGAATAATTCACAGTCTATTTTCTTAATAGTGTGATACATTCAATGGTAGACACTTAATGTTTGTACTGTGACTTGAATAATTGAATTGGAAAGCTCAGCTTAAAGTGCTTTTAAAAGCAATCGACCATTCCATTACAGATTACTATGACAATTTGCTACGGGGAGCATACATTTTGTCTTTAACCAAAAATGTTATTATTTTGGAATTTTTCGACAATTTTTTAACCTAGAAAGCTTTAGATGACATTATCTTGGCATCTTTTCATCCTTTTTTTAATTAAGGAAACTTTAAATTTGACAACAAAATGATCGGTTTTAACAGAAAATCTATATTTGTGGCGATCTTCTTGGAATTTCATAATTCTCCATGGATATCCTTGGATTTCCAGAGATATCCTGGGATTTCCTGGTATATGCTTGAATCTCCATGGAGATCCAAGATCATTTAAATTTCCATGGATCTCCGTGTATTTCCTTTGGACTTCCTTATACACGCAATAACACTTTTCCGATTCTACACGACTGCAGACGAAGTTTTTGGATGGTCATGTATTTTCACCGAATTTCCACGATTCTATAATGGATCTCCATGTATTTCCACTTAATATCCATGTATCTTCACTGATATCCATGGATTTCCACATATCTCTATGAGATCTCCATTCCGTAGGCAATAAGATAGTAGATTTCCACAGTGGCTACTCCCACTCGGAAATAGTCTTCTGCGATCTTTTAGGACAGAAAATCTCCATTTATGGAAATGTTTTTGTAACTTCAAAAATCTTCATTCATGGATATCCTGAGGATCTCCATAAAGAGCATTTGGATTTTCATGGATTTTTGTGTATCTCCTCCAGACCCCCATATACATTAATAACCACGGTTCCAGTTAAAATGATTTGCGCACGTAATTACGCTTTTCCGATTCTACACGACTGCAGCCGAAGTTCTTGGATCTCCACATAACTCCACCAGATTTCCATGGATTTCTCCAGATCTCCACGGATCTCCAGCGTGACGTAATACTGGAATGGTCAATTTGAATACTTCAAAGGCTATATTAAAGGTGTTTTTTCTCGCTTAAATTGGTTAAACCAGGTTGAACCTAATTCATAACTTTACATTTTCGCGATGTTTATACTTGTGTCTTTTCTAGGACGTTATAGAATCATGAACAGAATACTCTTACATTTTTTGGAAAATAGAAAATAGGCTATGGCTAATTACCAGAAAAAAAAAACAAACAGAAATCCTAGGTTATGTATGGTTAAATTCTTTGTTTGAAAACCTCATTTTTTCTCGTACGAAAGTAATGACGTCATTTTTAAACAGGTTTAAAACTGATTTCGGAAACATTTAGAACTGCTGGGATCGAGAAAAAAACACCTTAAATCATTTGAAACTCTTTGACGCTTTGAAAGTCAACACAGTAAAAGCTGTATAATTCCGTGTAATTTGGAAACACAATAGTTTTTTCAACCGACATGAAAACTGTTCCAGAACCAACAATTTTCAGTTGCCCACCTATTTTACAATAAGTTAAACGTTTATCTTACTTGACAAATGAATTGATCGACTGGAAATTATCGATCTAGAATGGTTTTCATGTCAGTTAGAACAGAGCTAATATGTATTTGCATTAAACGAAAATATTAAAATAATATTAACAGCACTTAGGTAACTATACCTAAATTATCTTTTATAAATTGAACCTGTTCAATTATTCATTTTAAACACCTGCAGCCTCCAAATTATTACTCGTTTATTTTTGATAAATCTTCTGTCCTACGAGATGGAGATCATCTCATAGATTCATGGAGATTTGGTGGAAATAAGTGAAGATCCAAGAACTTCGTTTACAGTCCTGTAGAACTGGGAAAACATAAACGTGGTATCGTGGATATTAATGTATATAATGGTACACGGAAATTCATGGAGATCCAAAATGGAGATTCAAGGATATGCCTGGAAATCTATGGAGTATGCCAGGATATCTATATGGAAATCTATGGAGTAGCAAAAAAATTTCCACAATTGGAAATGTGGAAATTTTCTGTTGTACGGGATGGAGATCTTATAAAGATCCGTTGAGATATGTGGAGATCTATGGAAAACCATTGATATTTGTGGAGTTACATGGAGATGTATTGGAAATACGTAGGATCTGGCGGAAATATATGAAGATTTAGG